TGTTTTCCATTTTATTTTTTTTTGCCACGAGAGAATTGTGTCAGGTTCTGCAAGTGCACAAGCACACATGCGTCAGTGTGGCACGTTGACAGGCAGCTTTTTCAAATAAAGAACTGACTAAAGCTCTGAACCGAGCAGCATCGACTGTGGAGGAAAGTATTTACAGAAACACATGCACATGACAACAGAAAAACAAAAACAAAGTGATTCCCTGTAGTGCGTGGTTCTCAGAAACTGTCTATCCGCGTTGCTGAGAGAATATATCTGCAATAGTTGAAAAGGGCTATGCAGGACTTTTTCCACCCAGAAGTTAATTTTAAATGGTTGCAGAGAAGTTTGAAAAATCGAAGCAAATGGGAAACATAAACAACTGTGACAGTTGTGTCTTTGCAAAGTCGGACCGCTCAGCGACTTGTGTGGAGGTAATTATCTGACAAATAGCATCATATGGTGCTTGTTATTTTAGACAAAGAGCGTGAAACCAGATGATGAGTACAAGTTGTTGTAAGAGAAAATGTGTTGCATTCGTCTCTAAAGACTCCACACTCTGCAGGACTTGTGATATGTTATAGTCATTTAAGCGAGTACAAAACTGCAATAAATAAACACACTTATGTAAAACAGTTACAAACAGAGGTTGGTTGGGAGGCTTAAAATCAGGTTTCTAAAATGCCCAAAAGGTAAAAGTTAATTTCCCTCAAGAAGATGCTGTATGTTGTTCCGAGAGTCCGGTGCAGAATAAGAAAAAGCAGATTTTCCCAGTTCCCATCTGACTCAAGGAACATTCACCTGTAAACGTCTTGAGGAACGTGTCTGGTGATACAATCGATGTTCTCGACAAACAAAAGAACAAAGACGAGAGGACAGTATGGTTTTAGAAACGTCATGAGGCTTTAGCATTGACTGTATATAAAGACTGACTACATGTCTCAACTTCTCTTGTTGTGGAGAAGTGAAGCCAGAATATCACTGCTGTCTTTAAAATACTAAAACACTTATCAAACTAAACTTGGAGCACTTGGACGTGAGTCAGCACTTTATTGACAGAAACCATGTTGGAGAAAAATGTATTGGATAAGTGTTTTGATTTTAAAGTGGGACCCCTGGAGGTTAATGTCCTATACTGCCTCCAGTCACCAGGGAACAATCAAAAGGTTTTTTCTCTTCTTATGGGGAGTTGACATGTTGTCTATCTTTGAATACAGTCTTAAGACTGCGGTGACATTATCAAAGTGGTGTATAGCTCTTGATGCTACAAGTATGCAAAGAAGCTAATCTTTACAATAATAACATGATGTTGTTTTGCATGCATGCTTTCCCATGTTTACTATCTGAAATTAACTATTGTTAACATTCATGTCAGCATGATAACAAATTGTTAATTGGCAGTAAAACAATGCACAGCCACTGCTGATACCAGTATGTTAAAATTCATGACAATACAAAACATGCAGATGTTTTGAAGGTGTATTTTTTACCTTTGCTACTCTCTTAGCTGAGGGTGACGGGGATATGATTAGTAAAGCACGCCATGTAAGCTAGCACTGGAATGTCTGATTACATGTCATCATGGCAATCGATCTAATGTGTGGAAGTCCCCAATCACAATAAATGTTGATCTGATGGTGGTACTGGTGGACACTCAGGGCGTCACCTACCACTAAATGACTGACTTAAGTGATTTAAAAAAGACAGAAAGAAAGATGGGAATCAATGAAGAAGTCATTGAGATATTTCAGTCTGAACAAAAAGAGTTGCACTGAACAAAAATAACATCGGTGTCACTTTAAACCAACACAGCGAACATTATACTGTCAAGTTTAGTTTTTCAAATGCAGACACTGTTCTTTTACGCACAAGTATGTTTGTCCCTGTTTCATGTCTAGCTGTCAGTCAGGTTCTTCACCCTCACCACAAAGATGAAAGCTGTCTCCAAAAGGAATGCCCACCAGAAACCAGAACAAAAACAGGAACACTATTCCAAAGTTTATCCCGGCCGTACAGAAGAAAATATTTACTTATTGACTTAACAAAGGATGTTTCAGACGGGAATGATTGCCATGTTTTAGTGAGACAAAGAAGGTGTAGGCACACAAACTCAAACTCCATTCAGGCCCAGAGAACATGACGTGATTTCAACATGGCTTCCTCTTTGAACGCCTCCATTCAGCCTCGAGCTCCAGTAATCAGTGTTTATATTGTGGTTGCAGAATCCGAACATGGCAACAAGGTTTTTTGTTTGATAGAGCCTGAAATGTTCAAACGCATCCAAACAGGAGATAACAACCTCAAATTAAGTTCCTTATTAGCGGAGTTATGACAACATGATAGCTGTATAAATCTCTGTAATGATCTTATCATGAGGAGCACAAAGGAGCTGAGGTGTAATTGGACTAACTTGGACTTCTGACTACTGAGATCATTTTTTAAGGTTCAGAGAGGACAGTCAAACAACTCTTCTACCGTACACCTTTTTTTTTATCTGTCCCATTTGCAGCGTTTAGTGGTATAAAAGTAGTAAATTAAGAAGTGTTTCAGTGTGATGGTTGCCGCCATGGGTACAACAATCTGTTTGCCTTGGGGCACTCTTGAATTTTACATGATGACCAAATGTTAGCAGAAAAATAAGATGGCAGAGGTTGACTTGGACCCATATATACAGTCATAAACACGATGGCCCAACTAGGAGACCTGCTTTTATATAGTATAATAATAAGAATGACAAACAATGCTTTACTATCACAGGGCCCAAAGACAAATCACGCCTTAATGGAGGACTTTTATCGAGATAGGAAATGGATATTACTTCATTATTATGTCTCCACCACACTTAACAATTTATCCACATAATTACGGTGAGCTCCCAGAATGCATTGACACAGTAAAGCAATGGCCCAGAAAGCGCCAGGAACTTTTTTTAGTGAGCTGATATTAATTGATTTGTCCTGACCTCCCCAGACCTGGCCTCCCCGGGGGGGCTCGGCTTCCTCAGCGCAGCGGTGCCAAGGTCTGTCCTAACTCTGCATAAAAATAAATGAGAAGCTATGGGGCTACTCGCTAAAGCCAGAGGATATTGTTCGATTTCACGTCAGCCCTCCAGGAGGCAATTTAAACAACCCAGCATGCTAATCAAGCGGGTATAAAAGGCAGTTCTGGAGGGCGGCCCATTCCTCGTTTTTTTTTTCTTTCTTCCCTTCTCTCCATTTGCAACAAGAGCCAAAAAGGACATTAACAATCTGAGGAGGGAAGTGTAATAGGGCCTATATCAGAAAGAACATTATACTCCTGTGTAATGTAACTATATGATGTGGAAAAGGAAACAAGTACACTTCATTTAAAAGACATTCCCAGGACAGTTAGGTTGGCATGCCGTTGTCTTTGTTTGTCAAAAATCCTGCAAAACTCAAGTAGAGAATAACAATCATATCAAAAAAAAAAAAAAGAGATTGTATTCCAATGAAGGAACCATTGCTTAACTTAACGGCTTTGAGCCAATCCATGAGCTCCCCGCTGCCATCAACACATCAACGAAACATCTCAGTGGAACCACATTGTGACCCTTGTCTGAGTCGGCACAGCCCCGATCCCCGCAAATAATTCAATACTCTAATATCCCCATGGTATTTGTTGCGACCACAGAAATACGATAGTGTTCATTTCCCCCGCTCGTGCCCTGAACCCACGGGTCAGGTGGTAGCAGATCACAGACTTCTCTGTGACTCAGAGGTTAAACTAATCATGCATGACTTTCTCACATGGCCCCGGCCAGTACCTTCAGAAATCTACACCAGACTGTCACCCAGCAGCGGGTGAACCTGCTTTACATGCTAACGCTGAGCACTTTGGATGCAATGGCGGCTTCTCACAACAACAAAAATCCCCTTTAAAGGCTTTATATGTGATTTTTGATCCAGCAGATGTCGCCCTTGAGCACCAGCATGAAACCAAAACAACTGGCGCTGCATTGTTGTGTGAGCATGCTAATGCTAGCGATCTTTATTATGCTGGTATCTTCACACTGCATGTAAATTTACCTGAAATGAGCGTGATCTAGAAACACAGTTAAGCAGTGAGTACAGTATGTTATTCTTCTTTTCTCTAGTCCCTCAATTAAACAACTTTTATACACGAGGGGAGGAGTCAGCCGGCCGTCCTGGCATTGTAAACAAAGTGAAGATAGGACTCTGAAAACTCTGAAAACATCACAGACAGTTACACCCATTGTAGACAGTCATGACTCACAGAGTTATTTTCAGAGGAGATACTTGATTTATATATTTAAGTCTGAAAAAATACTTTAATGTATCGAGGTTTATTTCAGATGTGTGATTTAAGAGAGAAACATATTTGAACTAACACCAACAAACTCTCTGAACTTCTTTGAATGTTACCTTTTCAATACATGTATATAACTCCTCTTCAACACTGCCGTGAACTCCAGGTAACATCACTTAGTGTCTGGATGAGAAAGAATTCAAACAAATCTCCAGCAATACTGTAAAAGCCACATTTCACTGTCACATTTTCAACTGTGTATTTGTTCCCTCTACAGCTGAAGATGTCCTTCAGACACTTCAGTATCGAGGTCCTTAAAGAAACAGCTCATTTATTATCTGTCGAAATAAGTGCATCAGACAAGGCAAGGGCTGATAAACACTGCCCCCTACTGACACTGCAATGTCATTACAGTTTCTCACTTTAACCCTGAAGCAGTGGGTGAGAATTCTCTTATTTTTTTTGTGTAACTATGTTATGTCTTAGATGCTGTAAATCAGACTTTGTGTGTGTCTGTTTCTTTCTGGTTTTTTGTTCATTTATGTCAATTGTCTTTTATTTTTAGTTCTAGAAGAAATGTTGTGGAATGTTTGTAGTGTGAAAAGAATACTATATAATATGAATTTTGTAAAATGTATTGTCACAATATAAACTGCGGACCCCAGGAAGAATAGCTTCCCGCTATGCTGAAGCTAATGGGGATCCAAATAAAACAAACAAACAAATGATTTTATGTTTCTTTACAACAATCATTTCAAACTGTAAATCATTTTCATTACTCAAAGCTTTAAAATGACCAAATGTACAGTACCATTACAGCATTTCTTGAAAAGTAAGTGAGTGAGCGTTTAAGAGAGAAAACAGTAAATAGAATAATCACATTAGCTTTTAATAATCAGTTCAATGACCAATGGAAAACATTCATCATAAAAACTTATACTGCTGTTCCCTAAAGCGCCTAATTTAATGCAAGAAAGCACAAAAAGTCGTGACAGTTATACCCTGAGCTCTGAGAAATCTTCAAATATTATCCTCACAGCAGTTTCATTAGCAGACACAAACTCGTCCCTTTAAAAATAAATGGCAGTACAAGTTAATACAAATATCTGACTGAAACATTCTTTATGAATACACCTTCAGTGTGATCAGATTCTTTGACACAGTAGCTGGATGTTCAATAAGTCGTATATTATTCCATTACACCACAAAGTTTGTCTAATGATTAAAAACAGTGTTTTTTTTCTGTTCCTTGTCGTGTCTCTCATGTTACCTCAAAAGGTTTGAGCATGACATCAGAAACATTAGTGCTGTTAAACTAATAATTAAATAAACATTTATCTTATTTTTAAAAACATTCATGAAGCATTATTAGTTGAAACATCTTTAAAAAAATACATGTAGGATTCAGTTAGTCACACAAAACATTCATAATATTAATGAAGTTATTAATTTAAAAAAAAGGAAAGAAAGGTAACAACTAGTGCAAATGAAAAACTTGTTTTCTTTGAGATAATCTTCTGGTACTGTGGGCGTCTCTTCCTACAAAATATGTCAAAAAACAAACATGTAACATAAAGAGATAGAGGACTTACTTCTTCACTTTCTGTTGCCACATATTTTCTCCTAAGGCCTAAGCGATCACTCCATCTTTCTGTTGTTTGTCTTTATCCTCACTAGTGCTCTCATCGTCTGACTTTTCATCTTCTGGACCACCCTGATCCTCTTCTTTATCTTCATCATTTCCCCCCTCACCTTGATCTGCCTCTGCCTGCCCCCCCCGTCTCACCTGAGTCCTGCCTGCTCTGCCCCTCAGACTCTGAATCTGCATGTGGAGTGTCTGAAGCCTTTTTTAATGTGACAGTGTTGCTGGTGTTCACTTCTGTTGAGTCGGCTAAATGCTGTTTCTCATCTATTTCTTCTCCATTACTCATTAAATTGGATGTTTCTTCAGCTGGAGGAACCAGTTTGACCGGTTTAGCTTCTTCTGTGGATTCTTCTTCCTTTGGCGTGGCAGATTCTCGCTCTTGTGATGTCGTATTTGAACCTTCCTCATGAGGAACACTGGACGACTTGTTCACAGAGGATTTGTCTGATTAATTTCTGTTCTGTTGCGTACCTGATGAATCAGTGTGTGAGACAGATTCATCTTGAGTGTCTTCATTGACCTCCTCTGAGTCAGACCCGTTCTTTTGTCCCTCAGCAGGGTCCTCATCTGGACCTCTCTCAGTCTTTGGGGGACTTGAGTTGGCAAGAGTAGGAGAGGTTTGATCTGTGGGTGGGACAGACGGTACACAAATCAATGTGCTGTGATTGTTCAGTCATTTGGATAAGGTTAGGGTTGTTTCATAAAATAACAGCAGAAGGAAAGATGAAAACAATCAAGACATGTAAAGTTCTTCAATGATCAGAAATATTTCTTCTAAGAGCTTTAAAGAGAGAGAGAGAGATTTAAGCTTTAAAAACTGTTCAAGCAAACACAAACGTAGCGGTCTTATTAACTGTGAATAGTTGTGTTGAACCTGCTCATAGCACAACATTCAGCAGCGTTACCTTCTTCAGGATCTTTGTCTCCTCTGTCATCAGATGAAGACACATTCAGGATCTCATTATTATCTTGGGCCAAATATTCAGGCAATGTTTCCTCACCCCCACCTAGATTCTTCTCTGGCTCTAAAATAAACAGTAGAAAGAATACAAAAGAGTTTAAAAAGTGCACCTGTCTGTTTAGGATTAGTAAAGGACTGAAATATTCAGAGACAGTCTTTTAGTTTGAATCAATGAGTCTTACTTCATGGAGGTTTCCTAAATGAGACACGGTCTGTGTGATGAGTTAGGTGTAACAAATAAAGTCCCTCCTCCAGTTTTTATCATGTGCTTTCATAAATGAACCATTTGTCTTTATTGTTGTTAAGAATAATCCAGAAGTAAATGAAAGTACTGTTGCATGCTTTGTTTTGTCTCTCAGAGGTTACAAAGTGAACCTTGTAGAAATACTCTAATCGTCTGTACTGTGTGTAAAGTTTGATAGAGCGAGCGTTCTAGCTTTCTGAATCTGATTGAGACAAACAGCAAGAGAAAACAAATACTTAAAGATACTAAACAGAACAGAGACAGTCTCAGACACTGGAGTCAATAAACCCAGTTAGGAACAATCTATTAAGAAACAATGAGTAGTACAGAAACAATAGATTGATACAGGAATTTTCTGATTGGTGGAAAATGAATCAACATGAATTTAATTCATATTTTAAGTTATTTATAAGTAAAAACAACAACAACTATTCATTTGTTGTACCTTGTTAAATGTTAGGACTCTCTGCTTTTTGATTGTGGAAATGAAAATAAACATCAGCTGCAGCTGTTTGCAGAAATCTACTTCCCATTCAAAATTACCTGTTATGTTTTGAGGCTGTTGAGGTTCTTTATCCTTCTCAATGTTGTCTTCCTTCTCTTTGAGGTTACCTGATAAGAGAAAAGAGTCACAAGCAGCCAGCTTTATTCCTAGCCTCTCTTATATCGTGTCTCAGCTAACATTAAGAATGTGTGTTGTGGTGTCACCTTCTGGTTGCTCTGGATCTCCAACAGGTTCTGGAGAGAAAAATATTCTTTAGATCAAAATAATTCATGACATGCAGTGAACTGAAATCAGATTAATCATGTTACTCCTTTCTGTACTGTTTAGAAATAAAATCACAATCAAACTATGAGCTAAATAAAATATACACACAGGTAACAGACATGGATGTCATGCTGTTATGATCAAAATAAACTGTTCATACATCATTGTTACATCAGTGTCCTGTTTGAACCTTCCTCATGAGGAACACTGGACGACTTGTTCACAGAGGATTTGTCTGATTCATTTCTGTTCTGTTGCGTACCTGATGGATCAGTTTGTGAGTCAGATTCATCTTGAGTGTCTTCATTGACCTTCTCTGAGTCAGACCCGTTCTTTTGACCCCCAGCAGGGTCCTTAAGGTCCTCATCTGGACCTCTCTCAGTCTTTGGGGGACTTGAGTTGGCAAGAGTAGGAGAGGATTGATCTGTGAGTGGGACAGTCGATGCTTCCTCACCCATACCTAGATTCTTCTCTGGCTCTAAAATAAACAGTAGAAAGAATACAAAAGAGTTTAAAAAGTGCACCTGTCTGTTTAGGATTAGTAAAGGACTGAAATATTCAGACTTCATTTGTCATTATTGTTGTTAAGAATAATCAATAAGTAAATGAAAAAGCAAAGTGTGTATGTGGGACTGTTTT